CTGGGAGGCTTGTCCAGCAGCAGCCAGTCCGAGCCTCGCTGCAGCACGCGCGGCGACGGCGGGCCGCCTCGGGAGAAGGCAATATGGCGGGAGAGAGGCAGCAGGCGAAGTACCCGGGACGGGAGCAGGGGCACGGAGCGGGGATGGAGGAGGAGGAGGAGGAGGAGCAGGAGGAGGAGCAGGAGCAAGAGCACGGGAATGAGCAAGTACTATGTTAACACTGCGCTTCCACTACGGCGGGTACCGTGTCGTGACGACCCAGGCGTTGGTTTCTGACACCGCGTGGTCAACATTGAACGATCGGCGACTGCTCGATCGCCAGATCGTTCCATGCTGGCCGATTCTGGGCCACCAGCGGCGTTCGAACTTGACCGCCAGCGTCGGGGTAGCTGCCGCGTCGGTATGACACGAACCTACGGTACCCGCCCTTCCCTCCACTCCCTACCCACGCCCCATTTCATCCCCATCCATCCCTCCTTCTAATCCCCCTCAGCAAAGGTTGAGCAATGCCATCTTGATGCTTCCAGTCACCGTCCTCGATCGCATCATGGGTGCATGTTTTTTTTTCCGCGGCTCGGCAACCCAAGCTAAGCGAGAAAATGGCTAGCCAATCCCCGTAAGTGAGAGTGGAGGCGCCAGAACGCGAAAATCACAGAATGGCTCCAACAAGCAGCGCCCCAACAAAACTACAACGTCCGCCAGCCTCGATCAGAAGCCGCGGTGCGGCAGTGAAACACGCCGAGCATCGCTCTGGGCCGAGATGGACTTCCCCCTATCTCTCCCCCACTTGAGCATCGTTAAAGCAATCCCTTTCCTAACTGGGGTGGCCTTGGCCCCAATGGCCGACGAACACACCAAGTGGGGCCACACGCTGTTCCCGTCGCGCTTCGCGGGGCCTATCCCAACCTGAGAGCGTGGGCTGGCTCCGTGGGGATGGGGATCAGTCGGACGATGCTTCTTCCCAGCAGGACCTTGGCGACACTTGTACGTTTGGCCGCGCAAAGGGGGGCGGAGCCTAGTGAGCTCGGCTCTGCACGTGGCAACGCTTCTCTGGATCCTCCTTGGGCGCAGGAAGGCGACGTCACTTTCATGTCCGGCAGCACGCATCAAGGCAGGATCTGGTGTGGGTCACTGTCCAGCAACACACTAGATTCAGAATCAGAGCCCAGACAAACCAGGGTAGGACAAACATCGAGAATTATGGTATCTTCAACCCCTCCTTGGGGGATCAACAGGCTGCGATACCTAATTCGGTGCCCCCGTTCCTTACAAGAATTCCAGCTCCCAATGTTATGAGTATATCGGTTATACGGTATAGCTCCGATGTTGTAATCTTCGAAGTCCGCGCAAGGACCCCCGCCTGGCAACCACGCGGTTCCTATCACAGTATCATGTCCTCTGAAATTTGATATGCCTGCGGCACGTGAAATACAGCAAGGTCGTGCGACCGAAGCCGCAACCCCTTGCACATTACAGTGCGATGGCGCGCCCGAGGCCACAACCCTTTTATAAACTACACAGGCCGCGCGCTCCCGAAACCACAATCCTGTATATGGACCTACGACACGCGTTCCCGAGTATATCATCCATTTGGCAATGAAAACACGGTGAGTCCCCGATGCCGCAACCTGTCGCCGATAACAACGCGATCGCGTCTCCCGAGGCCACGACCCATTGCGAAATTACGATGGGCTTACGCCCACGAGGACACCACACTTTGTAAATCACACCACGCTCGCGCTCCCGAAGACATGTTCTCAAACATTACGCCACACCCGCGTTCCCAAAACCAAATTTCCCCACATATTACAACCACCTTGCGCCCCCGAAACCACAATCCTTTGCAAATGGAAGCGCGTTCGCGCACGCTCCCGAAGTCACAATATCACGGATCGCTGCCCACTACTACGGGCATGCGTCCCCGAGGCCACAGGCAGACCCTTGTAAACCACACTGCGTTCGCGCTCCCGAAACCATGATCCCATGTAATTCACTGCGCGCTCGCGCTCCTCGAATCATGTTCCCTCATAACCGGTGTGTTTCCCCACCATCATGTGGTGGTGGGTCCCCGCTTTGAAGAAAAAACAACATGCTTCCCTCTCCTCTCCACCTCCCCTGCCCTCCCCTCCTGAACGTTGCTCTCCGCATCCGTTTACCGAGCCGGTACACCTCGCACACGCTTCGTGAACACATAAGAAACTCCATCTAAAGTACCCGTGGCAGGGTCCACGCGCGGCTCCCCGCCCACCGCATGTCCAATTCCGCACACGCCTCGCATGAGTATCCAATATGGAGTTCCACTCAGAGACTCTTTGGCGGGGTCCATACGCGGCCCCCCGCTCACCGCATGCCCTTTTTCGGTACACTCCTCACACGCTTCGTGGCCCCATACGGAGTTCCACCGAATGCCCCAATGGCAGGGTCCACGTGCCGCCCCCCGCCCACCGCATGCAAATTTCGGCACACACACACACACACACACACACACACACACACCTCACACGATTCGTGGCCCCATATGACCCACCGAATGCCCTAGTGGCAGGGTCTACATGCAGCTCCCTCCCCACCGCACGTTTTTCCCAACCATCCTGTGGTGTTGGGTCCTCGTTTTGAAGAGACGGTGCCCCGCGTTCCTCTCCTCTCCTCTCCTCTCCTCCTTTTCCCCCTCCTCCCTCCTCCCATCAGCATCATCATCATCTTCGTCATCATCATCGTCATCATCATCATCATCATCATCATCATCATCATCATCATCATCATCATCATCATCAGCATCATCATCATCGTCATCACCCACCATCATCGTCATCATCATCATCATCGTCACACCTCTCACACGCTTCGTGGCCCCATAGGGAGCTCCACCGAAGGCCCCAGTGCTGCCGCCCGCACGCGTCAGCCACACCCAGTTCGGCATACCCCTCACACGTTTCGTGGCCCCACAGGGACCTCCACCGAAGGCCCCAGTGCTGCCGCCCGCATGCGTCAGCCACACCCAGTTCGGCACACCCCTCACACGCTTTCGTGGCCCCATAGGGAGCTCCACCAAAGGCCCCAGTGCCGCCGCCCGCATGCGTCAGCCACACCCAATTCGGCACACCCCTCACACGTTTCGTGGCCCCATAGGGAGCTCCACCGAAGGCCCCACCGCCCACATGCGTCAGCCACACCCAATTCGTTTCGTGGCCCCATAAGGAGCTCCACCGAAGGCCCCAGTGCTGCCGCCCGCATGCGTCAGCCACACCCAATCGGCACACCCCTCACACGTTTCGTGGCCCCATAGGGAGCTCCACCGAAGGCCCCAGTGCTGCCGCCCGCATGCGTCCACCCCCCATTCGGCACACCCCTCACACGTTTCGTGGCCCCATAGGGAGCTCCACCGAAGGCCCCAGTGCCGCCGCCCGCATGCGTCAGCCACACCCAATTCGGCACACCCCTCACACGTTTCGTGGCCCCATAGGGAGCTCCACCGAAGGCCCCAGTGCCGCCGCCCGCATGCGTCAGCCACACCCAATTCGGCACACCCCTCACACGTTTCGTGGCCCCATAGGGAGCTCCACCGAAGGCCCCAGTGCCGCCGCCCGCATGCGTCAGCCACACCCAGTTCGGCACACCCCTCACACGTTTCGTGGCCCCATAGGGAGCTCCACCGAAGGCCCCAGTGCCGCCGCCCGCATGCGTCAGCCACACCCAATTCGGCACACCCCTCACACGCTTCGTGGCCCCATAGGGAGCTCCACCGAAGGCCCCAGTGCAGCCGCCCGCATGCGCCAGCCACACCCAATTCGGCACACCCCTCACACGCTTTCGTGGCCCCATAGGGAGCTCCACCGAAGGCCGCAGTGCCGCCGCCCGCATGCGTCAGCCACATCCAATTCGGCACACCCCTCACACGTTTCGTGGCCCCAGCCCGCATGCGTCAGCCACACCCAGTTCGGCACACCCCTCACACGTTTCGTGGCCCCATAGGGAGCTCCACCGAAGGCCCCAGTGCCACCGCTCGCATGCGTCCCGCACACCCATTTCGGCACCTCCACCAAACACAGCGTTTCGTGGCCCCACAGGGACCTCCACCGAAGGCCCCAGTGGTGCCGCCCGCATGCGTCACCCCCACCCCAGCACAGCATTTCGTGGCCCCACAGGGAGCTCCACCGAAGGCCCCAGTGGTGCCGCCCGCATGCGCCACCCCCACCCAGCACAGCGTTTCGTGGCCCCACAGGGAGCTCCACCGACGGCCCCAGTGGTGCCGCCCGCATGCGTCACCCCCGCCCAGTACAGCGTTTCGTGGCCCCACAGGGACCTCCACCGAAGGCCCCAGTGGTGCCGCCCGCATGCGTCACCCCCACCCAGCACAGCGTTTCGTGGCCCCACAGGGAGCTCCACCGAAAGCGGCACCCGCAATGCGATATTCACAACTGCACATGGTTGGGTCCTTCGCCAGGATAATTTTTCCGGCACCCCCCTGACACGCTTCGCGGCCTCATAAGGAGTTCCACCGACGGCCCCAATGGCAGGGTTCGCATGCGGTTCCCGCCCACCGCACATTTATTTCGGTACAACCCTCACACGCTTCGTGGCCCCATGGGAGCTCCACCGAAGACGCACACACGCACACGCTGCACGCGCTTCGTAGCCCCATATGCACGCGGGGACTCCACTGCATTATGCCTCCATGAAGTGCCCGACGCCTGCGCGCTCCACCCGGCGTCTGCGCGTTGTCTGATCCGTCCCGCGGAGAACCCGCGCGCGTCGCTGGGACTCTTTCAGGGCAGACGGCGCGCGTCGCGGAGACTCCACGCGCGGTGCCCAGAGCCGCGGTCACCCGGGCGCAAGGACAACGAGGGGAGATTACGAGAGAAGGAAATGGATACAAAATAGCGTGGCATGGGGTTTAGGCCACCGCGGGCCACGGCGGGCAGGAACGCAACGCTGCGCATTGGAAACAAGGAGAGGAGTGAAAGAACTGGGAAGGAAATGGGCACGAAATGGCGGCGCACGGGGCTCGCGCAAAACAGTACATGTTCCCGTGAGACCAGCGGCTTTTCCCTCCAAATCAACGCCGCAGTCCTTGTCCTGACCCCTTCCTCCTTGTCACCTGCCCCGCAGTACTCGAAGCTGCTTATGATTGGGTCCTTTCCAGGGGGCTCCAGCCGCTGCGGACAAGCCAGGGCCCTATCCGACTGTCTGACCTCTGCGGTAGCGGCGACACTCGCAGAGAAGAGAGAGGGAGAGAGAGAGAGAGAGAGAGAGACACATGCAGATATGGAACATGCTGCATGAACTAATCGTCTTAACTTACAACCAACCTGCGCCCCCGAATCCACAATCCCTTGCAAATGAACGCACATTCGCGCTCCCCAGGCTAGCCCCGTGTAAAACACAACAGACTCGCACAGCAGAGGCCACATTCCCTGGTAAATACACCTTGCACATTACGATGCACTGGCGCTCCAGAGGCCACAATCCCTTGCGAACGTGTAAGGACTGGCGCTGTCCAAGCCGCCATTTCCCTTGGCAAATTGCATCATCTTGGTGGTCCCGAAATCTCAATTCTTTGCGAATCACTGTATACTCGCGTTCCAACCCCTCGTGAATCACGACGCGCTCGCGCTCCCAAGGCCGCAACCCACAGTACAGTACGACATATTCGCGCTCCCAAGGCCATAAGCCATTGGAAAGCATATTGCATTCGTCTTCCCGAAGGCGCCAACCCTTTCAAAATAAGAACGCATTCCGCATTCGCGCTCGCGAGGACACAATCCATTATACATCACAGCAGAGTCACAAGCCCCAGGACACAATCGCTTGCAAGTAGCAACGCATCTGAAGCCCCCCTCCCAAACTCAGGAGGAGGACCTCGGTGGACCAGTCGAGACACTGGCGGCCCTCCCGACCGAGGAAAGCGGGGAAGAAAGATGACAGGGGCGGGCTTGGCCTCTAGCCCCTTGTCAAAGGCCGATACCTTCAAGATCTGGTCCCCGACTGAGCCGGGGGAGCATTGGTAAAACCAATACTCCTCCTCCTCCTCCTCCTCCTCCTCCTCCTCCTGCTCCTGCTCCTGCTCCTGCTCCTGCTCCTGCTCCTCCTCCTCCTCCCGAGTTCAACAGGAAGAAAGGTTCGCGGCCAGACTTCGTGCACGTCCACAGCCTGGGAAGCCCCAGCATTGATTTTTTCAAATCGCGTTCCATCCCAAATTGTTTCTTGACGGCGGCCCCGGGGCCCGGCGAGGACCGCAAAATTGTCAAAAATCCTTCCGTCGTGAGAGTATCTGGCGGTGGATGTCGACACTCTCGGGCCCCTGGAGGCCCAGAGATACCACAGCTGCCTCCTGGGCCCCTGGGGGCATCGGCTACCCCGGCGGTGGACATGTGTAAACTTCCGCCTGGGAGGGATTTTATTTGGATTGCGAGGCCGTTGAAGAATGAAACCTGTCGACAAGATGTAGCATGCAGGTGAGCAGAATATTACATGACAGCGTGAAATATTCGACTACGGGCGCCAAGACAGCCAGGCGGGCACACGTCGCATGGGGAGGCGAGTGCAAGGAGGATTGGATGGGAACGAAATGCACCAATCGCGAAGCGATGAAACGTGACCCAAACAACTGGCCAGAGCATGGCACTCGGCTTGGTTAGGGCTCATGGTTGGGCAATCTGCCCTCGTGAACTCGACCGACGTGGGATTCCCGCGCAGGTGTGGGGGAGGCCTGACAGTCAGACCCGAGAGACAGAGGCTGCACACTCCAGAAACGTAGCGCAAGAACGCTCGTTTTATTCGCGGCCATAACGGGCGATACGGGGGGAGGGCGGGGGACCGGGAGGGGGTCCCCCAGACTGTGGTGCCGGACGCGCTGCGGCAATGCCGGGGGCGCACTGATGAGGGGCAGCGTTACGTGATGGGAGGGGGGGGTGGAGGGTAGGGGGCAGAACGCGCGTTATGACCCAGAGGGTAAGAAGTACTCTGAAACTGCACACTCCCGAAACGAAGCGCAAGGAGGAGGGAGGGAGGGAGGAGGGAGGGAGGTGTCCGTCTCGACTGGGGCTTACCCCGAGCAGCGGCAGCAACAGCATGGCCCTGGGCGCGGCCGCGGGGCGCGGTCAAAGCCCCAGCCCGTCCAGGAGGCTCTTGGCCTCGGCGAGACGCGCGCGTCGGGCCGGAGGCGGGGCGCTTGGCTGCCGCGCGCGCGCCCGCAGGCGCAAGTGAGGGAGACCCGATTGTGGCGAGCGAGGACATCGATTGATCAATATACGGCAGGTGCGTGCCGTGCCGACCCTGGCGATGGTTCCCGACACCGCCGGGATCGTTCAACCTGGATCGATCGGCCATTTCCCAAACGTCAAATTTTTCAACACCGACCGAATCTCGGTCGCCAGCGGCGTTTAACGTTGAACGCCGGCAGCGGGGTCGCCGTCGGTCGACACGCCACGAAGCTTCCGTAATTTTGCGTGCCACATCCTCCCCACCCCAGTCAGACACCACCGCCCAGGGCCGTCTCTGGTATACAACAACCACGCCCGGCAGAGAGAGAGTTGTATACCAAACCTATGGCCAGGACCCTCGCCGACCCTCCAAGCCATGCTTGTACAGAATCTGAACTTTTGGGCGGATCGGTCAAGGAGAAAGGCCGGTCGAGGAAACGAGGTCGATGGATCGAACAGAAGTAGCAGTCGGTCCAGGTCTCTACTTTTCGCATCGGCCAGGGCGCACAGCAAATAAAACCTAGCAGCTGCCGTCGTCGCCGCGGTCGTCGCGGTCGTCGGCGTCTTCGACGCCGGCGTCGTCGTCGTCGGCGTCGGCGTCGGAGGCGGCGTCGGCCTCGGCGTCGGCGTCGGCATCTGCGTCGTCGTCGTCGTCGTCGGCGTCGGCGTCGGCGTCGGCGCCGTTGCTGTCGTCGTCGTCGTTGTCGTCAGCGGTGGCGTCGGCGGCGGCGGCGTCGGCGTCGTCGGCGGCGGCAGCTGCGGCGGACACGGCGTCGGCGTCGGCGTGGGCGTCCGCGTGGGCGTGGGCGTCGGCGTGGGCTTCGGCGACGGCGTCGGCGGCGTCGGCGTCGTCGGCGGCGTTGTCGGCGGCGTCGGCGTCGTCGGTGTCGGCGTCGGCGTCGTCGGCGTCGGCGTCAAGCGTCAGCGTCGTCGTCGGTGTCGGCGTCGTCGGCGTGGGCGTCGGCGGCGGCGTCGTCGTCGGCGTCGGCCTCGACATCGTTCGTCGGCGTCGGCGTCGGCGTCGGGCGTCGGCGTCGGCGCCGGCATCGGCGTCGTCGTCGTCATCGGCGTCAACGGCGGCGTCGGCGGCGGCGGCGACCTCGGAGTCGGCATCGTCGTCGTCGTCGGCGTCGGCATCGGCGTCGGCGTCGTCGGCGACGTCCGCGACGTTGCCGTCGGCAGCGGCGGCGTCGGCGTCGGCGTCGGCGTCGGCGTCGGCGTCGGCGTCGGCGTCGTCGGTGTCGGCGTCGGCGTAGTCGGCGTCGCCGTCGGCGGCGGCGGCGTCGGCGTCGGCGTCGGCGTCGGCTTCGTCGTCGTTGGCGTCGAAGTCGTCGTCGGCGTTGTCGTCGTCGTTGTTGTCGTCGTAGTCGTCGTCGGTGTCGGCGTCGTCGTCAGCGTCGGCGTCGGCGTCGGCGTCCTCGGCGTCGGCGTCGGCGTCGTCGTCGGCATCGTCGTCGGCGTCGGCATCGGCGTGGTCGTCGGCGTCAGCGTCGTCGGTGTCGTCGTTGTCGTCGTCGGCGTCGGCGTCGGTGTCGGCGCCGGCATCGTCGGCGTCGTCGGCGTCGTCGCGTCAGACCTCGTCGTCGTCGTCGTCGGCGTCGCATCGTCGGCGTCGTCGGCGACGTCCGCGACGTTGTCGTCGGCAGCGGCGGCGTCGGCGTCGGCGTCGCGTCGGCGTCGTCGGCGTCGGAGTCGGCGTCGGCGTCGTCGTCGGGTCGGCGTAGTCGGCGCCGGCGTCGGAGTCGGCGTCGGCGTCGGCATCGGTGTCGGCGTCGGCGCCGGCGTCGTCGGCGTCGTCGGCGTCGGCGCCGACGTCGACGTCGACGTCGGAGGCGTCGGCGTCGTCGTTGTTGTCGTCGTCGGCGTCGTCGGCGTCGTCGTCGTCGTTGTCGTCGTCGTCGGCGGAATCGTCGGCGTCGGCGGCGACCTCGGAGTCGGCATCGTCGTCGTCGTCGGCGTCGGCATCGGCGTCGGCGTCGTCGGCGACGTCCGCGACGTTGTCGTCGGCAGCGGCGGCGTCGGCGTCGGCGTCGGCGTCGGCGTCGTCGGCGTCGGAGTCGGCGTCGGCGTCGTCGTCGGTGTCGGCGTAGTCGGCGCCGGCGTCGGAGTCGGCGTCGGCGTCGGCGTCGGTGTCGGCGTAGTCGGCGCCGGCGTCGTCGGCGTCGTCGGCGTCGGAGTCGGCGTCGGCGTCGTCAGCGTTGTTGTCGTCGTTGGCGTCGGCGTCGGCGTCGGCAACGGCGTCGTCGTCGTCGTCGGCGCCGTCGTCGTCGTTGTCGTCGTCGTCGGCGGAATCGTCGGCGTCGGCGTCGGCGTCGGCGTCGTCGTCGTCGTCGTCGTCGGCATCGGCGTCGGCGTCGGCGACGGCGACGGCGTCGGCGTCGTCGTCGTCCGCGTCCGCGTCGGCCTCGGCCTCGGCGTCGGCGTCGTCGTCGGCATCGTTGCCGTCGCCGTCTGTGTCGTCGTCGGCGTCGGCGTCGGCGTCGGTGTCGACGTCGGCGTCGGCGTCGTCGTCGGCATCGACGTGGGCGTCGGCGTCGATGATCGGCGTCGGCGTCGGCGTCGGCGACGGCGTCGGCGTCGGCGTCGGCGTCGTCGTCGGCGTCGGCGTCGGCGTCAGCGTCGGAGTCGGCGTCGGCGTCGTCGGCGTCGTTGTCGGCGTCGGCTTCGGCGTCGGCGTCGTCGTTGTTGTCGGCGTCGGCGTCGGCGTCGTCGTCGACGTCGGCGTCGTCGTCGGCGTCATCGTCATCTTTGGCGTCGGCGTCGGCGTCGTCGTCGGAGAGGAGGGGGAGATGGAGGAAGAGCCCAAGAGAGGCCCAGCGAGAGCCTCAGGGAAGCCCCGACACTGTACGAGGAAGGAGTGTTCAAGAGGATCCGAGCAGGCACCCAGAGAGCTCCCACAGGGGGTTCAGAAGAAGCCTTGAGTAGCCCGAGGCCGCCAGGGATGATGGTCCCCCTTCAGCTGCTCCTCCCGGAGCAGGGCGCGCGTGCACCGCCAGAGCGCTAAGCTCGCGGCAGACGTGCCCGCAAAGATGAGGAACAAGGTTCCGCCGATGTAGGCGAGCTGCTTCTCCGTCACGTACTTGCTGATCAGCTCGCCCAACTGGGAGAACGATTCCCGACCGCATCCGTGAGTGGGAACGCTACGAGGAGGGGCGTGGCTCAGGGGGAGGGGGGGCGGAACATCAACCTGGAATTGGCGATGCATCGCCGATGCATCGGCGCTAGGCACCCGATAGCGAATCCGCATGTTCCTGGGCGGGGTGGGCTAACTATTGGGCCCCTATCGGCGATGTATGGGCGGTTGGTGGTCAGTGCATCCCCCCTGAGCCATTTCCCTCCCGCCTCCCCCCTACGTTGCTCCTGAATCCCCTTCCAAACAGTCGAGAGGCTCGGGAAATGATAGACGTGGCCAAGAGGCCCGTCTAACGGGCCAAAGAAGGAGACACCTACCAGGAGCAAACATTGGGTGGTGGTCTTCAGAAGTGCATGTGGGTACAAACGGGGCAGGAAGGGCAAGAGGTGGAGGGGAGGGGAGTCGATCGGAAGAGGAGGGGAGTGAAGTCGATCGCAAGAGGAGGAGAGGGAGGAGGAGGAGTCGCTGGAGAATGTGCGATAGCCGGTCGCTGCAAGCGTCTTGGGATCCGCCAGGGCGAGGGGGGGGAAGAAGCGGGGGGGGGATGGGCAGGAAGAGCCACTCCCCCCCCCACGCGGTTTTCCACAACGCCCGCCAGCACGGCGAGGGCGGTGGCGATGGCGTGGGCGGTGATGCCGCCCGTGAACACCTGGAGGAAGCGCGGGCGTGCGGGCGCGCGGCGACCCTGAATGAGCCTGCGATCTGGAGGTCCCCCGAGCCCGCGCTTGAGATGCGAGGCGAGGCTGAAAGGTGCTCGGAGGGCGTTCGGAGGGCCTTCGGAGAGGCCTTTGGAGGACGTTCGGGGGATGCTCGGAGGCCTCGGGAGGAGCCTTCGGGGGGGCGTCCGGGAAGCTCTCGTAGAGGCGAGGCGCTGCTGCAGCCACCACATGCGTACAAACCCCACTGCGCTTTCTCTGGGTTTGGAAGTTCTGACCCTCCTTCAGGCCTCGGAGGGGGGGGGTCCTGGAAGCCCTCGCGACCCCGGGGGACCTCTGGAAACCTACCAGCGTCGGCCACAGAACGGGCCCACTTCTGCAGGCACCCGCGGGGTCTCAGCCTGTGAGAGCTGTCCTCGGCCAGCTGAGGCACCGCAGCACTGGGGCGGTGCGCTGAGAAACCTCTGGGGTAAGAACAGACGAGAAAAACAAAAAAACAAAAACGCCACCACCACCACCATCGCGAAGAGTGAGGGAAGGTCCTACTGGAGTGTGGTCCCCCTATTTGGCGGCGTCCCGCTCGAGACGTCTCCAATCTCCAGGTCGGGCAGACATCATGGACTGCGCTGGAGGTGTCCCGCTGGTGGTGGCGTCGCTTCACTTCTCTCCGGCAGTGGGCGTGGAGAGGGTGAGAAGACAATGCCGCGGAGATGGATTGCCGAAAGGCCACAGAGACAAGAAGTGGCAACAAGTGTACATTTACAAGTGCCAAGGTTCCAGCGATCATCTAAGAATGCCGATGCCAACAAACGAAACTATGCGTGTGCACAGCAGGGGGACCACACCTCAGGGGGGGGGGGGTCTTGGGGGTCCTTGGCCCCATGCAAAGCTTTTTTGGTGTGTCCAAGCTCGAAGGCCGTTGTGGGGCCTTCTGGACCATCTTGGGCCCCTCCTGGGCCGTCCTGGCGCCCTCTTGGGGTGCGTTCGGGCCCCCCATCGGACGCCCCTCAGGCCGTCTTTGAGCGATCTGGCAAAATGTTCGGGCAGTCCCGGAGAGTCGGGAAGCGGAGCAGGGGACAATGGGAAACCCGTCGAAATCATTTGGCAAATCAATTATTTCCAACTTTGTTGGTCTCTGTCGGCGGGCATTTTTGAGCCCTTTTGGATGGCCTAGACCAGGTGGGCCAACGTCGCCGTCTTCTGAGTGTCTTGGAGCCTTCTTGGCCACAGGCTCGTTTGTGGGGCCGTCTCGGGGCCTCCTGGGCCATCGTGCTCTTGGGCTGTTTTGACTCCCTCTCGGGGTATGCTGGGGCCCTCTCGGACGGCCCCCTTGGCTGTCGCGGAACGTCCGGAAGCGGAGGTGGCGGCGAAAGGGAAATCCTGGAAAGCAGTCGTAGTCGTCGTCGTCGCCGTCATCGGGCAAAAACAAAACTCATCCTTGATCTGGACGGGGCCGCACTCATGAGGGCGGAGGCGGGAATGGCCAAGCGCGGCGGCTGCAAACCACACCCTCTCCGACCCCGAATCCGCTAGGAGCAGGCCCCCAGCCCCCCTGCGCCAAGCTTCAAACTTCGAAGCTCGAGCACCGAAGTTCGGCTGTGGCAATGAAAACGCCTTGCGCAAAATAACACGAGCACCGAGAAAACCCGAGAGAAGACTCGAGCTCGCAAATTTAATCTTCCATCGGCGACGAAGGATGCGGAGGGGGTGCGCAAAAGAGACTGGAGTGGCCTTCGGCCCATGCCGCCACCGTGCTTGGGTTGTGCCTCTCGGGTGTTCGGTGGGCTGTCCAGGGAGCTCGGTGGGCTGTCTAGGGAGGCCTCGCGGGGGCCTTTGGGCGTGTGTTGTCGGGCCTATTGGGGGCCATTTGGGGGCCTTCCAGGGCATCGTGGGAGCCTCTTGGGCTCTTGGGGGCCTCCTGGGGCCTCGTGGCAGCCTCCGGGATCCTTCTTAGGGCCTCCTTGGAGTCCCTGGGGTGGAAAATCTTAATGTTCGGTTCGCGCTTCCCCTCTTGAGCCCATGTTGCGGCCGTCGTCAGGGACTCTTGGGCCGTCTTGGGCCGTCATGGAGCTCTGTTAGGCCGTCCCGGGGCCGTCTTGGCCCATCTTGGGGCGGTCTGGTGGCCTGTTGGGCCGTCTTGGATTGTCAGAACCTAAGAAGGCCCCGAAAACATTGAACATCCCAAGGGAAATCACAAATGTTAGTCTTCCGGGCGCATGGCCTGCCCGGGGCTGTCCTGGCGCAGCCTGGAGGCCTTCGGGGACGGTTCAAAAAAACGTCTGCGGCGCTATCGGGGTGGTAGACTGTCTTACTAACTTGGTGCGTGCCCACGATGCAACTGTGGTGGCCACGAAGGCGCCTCTGTGTCCCCCCGTTCGGCCATGTACCCGGAGCCTCGGTCCCAGGCGCGCGCGCGCGGCCTACTCCGATATACATCCCTAGGCCCAAAGTTTTTTGGATTCAATTGGATTCCTGTTTCGGGTGTGCGACAATGTCGTGGATCCTCTGTCTTGCAAGGATACAATGTCCCGTGTGTGAAACAAAAAAGCATGGATCCATGTATGTTCCGGGAATCTGTATGTACAAATATACACTTATATACACATAAACACCTAACCTCCCGGACCCAAGGGAAATTGGATCCGCGGGCACCGCACGTGAAGCAACGGAACTGTGGATCTGCTGACCAAATCTATGATTACACGGGGGAGGGGGGTCTTCCCAGAACGAAGAGGGGAAGGAGGAGGAAGAAGGCACGAGGAGGGGGGAGGAAGGGAGAAGGGATGGGAGGAGGGAGGAGAGAGGAGGAACACTCAGGGAAGAGGGGGGAGAGAGGAAGATAGGGGAGGAGGAGGAGGGAGGAGGGATGCGGAAGGAGAAAAGAGAAGGGGGGAGGTGGGAGGTGGAGGGCAGAGGTGGGAGGAGGAGGAGGGAAGAGGGAGGCCGGGGAACAGGAGGACACACAAGTGAAGTGTCAAGATCGGAAGCTCGAGCACCACAGCGGGCCCAGCCACCTCCCCCAACTCCTCCCGTAACATGTGGTTACTCGGGTGCCACAGCAGGCCTGTCTGGCCATCTCTCGAACATCCTCACATAACATAAAATAACTCGAACGCCACAGCGGGCCTGGACAAATCCCGCATGTCCTTCCATAACATATAGCACGCCCCAAGTGGACGAGAACGCTACATGTATCCGCTCAACTGAACGGCGAGTCGTTTCCGATATTTGGGGCTCAAGAAGTTCAAGAAGGAAACTATGCAGTTACACTTGCATACATACATACATACATACATACATACATACATACGTACATACATACATACATACATACATACATACATACATACATACATACATACATACACACATACACACATACACACAAACAACCATACATACATGCATGCATGCATACACACATACATACAGACATGCGTGTGTATATGTATATGTATATGCATGTGTACCTGCACATGTATACGCATATGCATGCGCATATGTGTATGAGTATGTATATGTTTGTGTACATGTACAAGTACATGGACATGTAGTTGTATCTGTACATGCATGTGCATATGCTTATGTGTAGGTATACGTATTTGTATATGTGGATGCATATCCGACTCGATGACATGTGTATGGACATGTATGCGTGTTATGTATGTGGATATGTGTATGAGCATGTATGCGTGTTACCGTCTATAGTTGTATGTATCCAAATGTACGCGTGTATGTATATGGAGATGTATATGTATACGAACACGTGTATGTATATGTATGCGTGTAGGTATATCAAAATGAATACTTAGGTGACTTTGGCTGCAAATGTTACTACACAATTTTATGTATGTGTAGACGTATGTGCTCTTATGTTCGAACCTCGCTCCTCGATCGACCGGTCCTCGACCAGCGCCGAAGCCGAGGCCGCCACCGCCGCCGCCGACGACGAGGACGGCAGAGGCGACGACGACGATAACGACCGAGGCGGCGACGACGACGACGACGACGACGGCGGCGGCGGCGACGTGGACTGCGGCAGATGCGACGACGACGACGACCTCAGATCCTGAGATGTGCGCAAAATCAAGCTTCGGCCCCCTCCTGCGGGATCTATCCGGCGCAGTGGTTCACCCCGGATCTGTTTTGGAGGCCCAGGTGCCCCAGAAACCGCCCGCAGATGCCGAAATCCTGGAGAAACCTCCTCCAACATCAACACGTGATGAAATATGTTCGCCAAGGCAAGGTTGCGGAGGTACCCGTTCGGTTCGGTTCGTCGTCGTCGTCGTCGTCGTCCTCGGACTTGCGTGGCATTCTCTGACTTTGGGGAGCCTTATGGTTTTCTACCGCCTGGGGTTGACTGGAGGAGTCTTGGGAAACTCCAGAAGCCTTTTGGGGGGGGGCCGTGGCGCTGTGCTACGGAGCCTCCCAAAGGCTTCTGGGGGAGGGGGGCCGCGCAGAGGCAGTCTTGAAGCTTCTTGACGGCATCAGGGGGCCTGTTTTTGGTACTATTGGGGGCCTCTTGGGGGCCTGTTGGGCTCTCTTGGGGGCCTCTTCGGGCTTTCTGAAATCTTCTCGGGGCGGGAAGCTCGAATTGTCTGTTCGTTTGGCTCTCTGGGGCTCCGCTTAGGGCTGTCTTGGAACTCTCTCGGGCGCCTCTGGGGCTGTCTTGGGGCCCCCCTACGCTGTCTGGGGGCCCTCTGGGGGACGTCTTGGGCGCCTCTGGGAACCTCTTGGGTCGGTCTTGTGGGTTTCTGGGGCCGTCTGGGATACTCGGAGTCCAAGAAGGGGAGAGCTGAACAAAGCACTGGAAACACACACACAGGAACTCTATGATTGTCGCTTCTTTGAGCGCTCTCGGAGGCCTCTTGACGCCTTGAAGCGTCTTGGGGGCCTTTCGGGCCGTCAAGGAAACCGTCGTGGGGCATGCTGCAGTTGTTCAATCGCCGCGGCGAGTGCCACCTGGGGCCGCCGAGGGCCGCCGGCGGAGGAC